CCCCAAAACCCCAAAACCCCAAAACCCCAAAACCCCTAGTTTATTCTCGTTAGAGTGTTTTGTGTGTGAAATAATGTAGGTATTAATCAGTTATTTATAACATTTTAAATGGATTGTTAAAGTTGCAAATTACCATATATTGCTGATTTTTAATTGCTGAGATAACCCTATATTCTCACTAAGTGTGGACATACTATGTGTAAAGAATGCTGCAACTTAATAATTGATACTAAAAAACAAATAAAATGCTTGACTTGCAGGTAGTATACAACAGTTTAAGATGGTGTAGACTCTCTGCCTCCTAATTATTAATTGCTAAATTTGATCTACTAAAATCAGCAAAAGACTATATCTTCTGTCTCAGAGACTAATGAGGGTGAAAGAATAAACAGAGTAAATACACAAGGAAGGAATAAAAAATCTCCGATGAGAGCTGTTTAATAAGATTAAAGTGATTTATGCATTCTTCATAATGAGCGATTTTAGGCCTTTTGTGAGACAGATAAGTAGCTTTTGTGCATTGAATGCATTTTAATGCCAGATCATAAGCCACATTTGGTACTAAACATTGAATAAGCTTTCAAGAAATACTCTTAGCTATTAAAAGGCTAGAATTAGTTTTTGAGGGAAATAGATCTTCAAGAATCACTCATTCAGCTAAATAATCGTAAAGAATAACTAAGATATGTAGCGAATGAAACTATCTTTAAATACAAAAAATTCATCGATTATCTTCATGAGAAAATTAACAAGAGGCGAGATTAGATCATTCTTGCTATATAGGATAGATCTAATTAAGAGGTATCCTAGTTGTAGAATTTTGAAGTTGCTTTAAAAGCTTCCTAAGAGTACACTACTTTATCAGATGACATAATTAGAAGTTTTCAAAAACAGGATAAGCAATAGTTCCTTTCATAGATTTTGGTGGTTTAATAACTTTCAGAGAATTCAAATCAAATCAAAAGTAATATCAATAATATCATGTCGATTGGTTCTACTCAATTAATTGAGAACGAATTTAAGATGGCAGATGAACTATCTTATTACATTTAGTGTTTTAAGAAGAGATTAAGAATTATACAGACCCAAAACTAATCAAAACATTCATAATCAATGAGTAAAACATTTAAGAATTAGTTTAGTAGCCAAATATCCTAGCTCAGTGAATTCAAGCTCACAAATCCTATTCAGGAGAGTATTCTTAAAGCATCTTTATCTCAAAATTTAAATATGAACTCCTAAAGTCAAGATAAGCATAGAAAAATTGACAATTTTTCATCTATTGATGTTAATCAAAGTATAAATTTGCTATTTAACAAAGAGCCACACACAACTTCTCATGCAAATAGCTAAACTTTATCAAATCCAAGTATGCAGCACAGTTAAAATTCTTAAAAGAGAGAATCCATAATAGGCGCAAATTAAAGTATTAGAAACTTGCCTAATCTTTCGAATTCATTTCTAAAGTAGTCTAATTATAATGCTGTGATTCAGAAACAGAAATCATGGAAGAATCCTAAACCACAAAAGCTGTACCAGACTTTCAAGTACGATAGTGATAAATTTAAAATGTCAACATACTCCTCAAAAAATTAATAAAATTAATAAGTCAATACGACTGGAAATAAATTGACAGTAGTAGAGACTACCAGTTCATGCAATAAAAGTAGTCATGGAGATGGTCAATAAAACTCTTTATCACAATCTCAAGTGAACTTTAATATTAAGAATAAGTTGACTTAGAGTAATTCTTCCTTCTTTGATTATAAGAGAAAGGCTTCTCATTAAAGTTCAGTGTAGAATGTAAGGACGCCAAAAGTTAAAGATTCTAGCTCGGTTCTAATGAGAGCATATCACAATATCGCTTAAACTAAAAAATTATTAGCAGAAAGAAAGGTTAAATCTTCCGATAGGCTAAATAAAAGACCAAATATATCAATCAGTGAAAATCCAATAATACTGACTGAAATGGCAGAAGGAATCAAAAGCAGTGAAAATGTAAGTAGTACTGGTAATCAAAGCCCAAATGAAGAAAATACAATCACGGTTGAGGAAAATTAATTCAAGATAGGTAGGCAACTTACTCATACAGTGACATAGACATATTAAAGTCCGATGAAAGAAGAGTAATCTTCTTTTATGTCTCAAAATCTAATGGTGAGATATGAAGATTCTGCTAAAAATCTAAATTTCAACTTGATAGATCAGCATAACAATATTTCTAATATGGGTAATCTTGGACTAATTGAATATTAGAGTGCTGAGAGGTTGAGGAAAAATAACAACTTTGGAATTGAGGATAAAAAATCAAGCCAAAAGAGTTAATCCACTAGAAAAAGGTGGAATATTCCCAAGAAAAGCCATGAAGAATGTGAAGTTGATTTAAATACAGATGAATTTGACATAATAAAAAATATGGATGCTTAGGGAATGTTTGGATCTATTACCTCACTCAGATAGGTAACACAAACTCCTTAGCTATCTAAGCCACTAAATCACATTTAACACTATGGCGAATAATGATAAAGTCTAAAATTATTTTGAATTACTTCTAAAAATATGCAAGCTATTTCTAAAGTCAGGGGTTTTGGGGTTTTGGGGTTTTGGGG